GGAGGAGGGGAGGTTTGCTTTTGGTCTTCTCAAGAAGCTTACTTATGCCCTTCTTAATTGTATTCTATACATTGTTAAAGATCTTCAAGAACTATTGCCAACTAGAATTTAAAGAAAAACCCTTATATTTTTCAGCTATGCTACCTGTTCTAAGGGCAGGAGTTTTGGTTGCCTTCAGAAGTTGATGCTTTGAATTCTTCCACTGATTACTCAAGTTAGACCATTGCTTTCAATTAACTAAAGGGCAGTCCGGTATACTAAATTCTCGCTATGCCCGGGGTCCGGAGAAGGGTCGGACCACAAGGGTCTATTGTAGCAGCCTTACCCTGTATTTTTGCACGAGGCTGTTTCCACCCTCGAACTCGTGACCTCCTGGTCACATGACAGTAACTTTACCAGTTACGCAAGATTCATCATTGCTTTCAATTAACTATCATCAAAGAAATCATGACTACAAATTTCTCCTAAACTTAACCTTGTCATATTTCTTTCAATTGAACTTGATATCTCCTTCAATTAAATGTTCTCTCATTTTTATCAGGATGATAACTCTAGGACCAGTAAGGAGAAAGAGGAACTAGATCGTGCAGTTGCACTCTCTCTTGCTGAAGATTTGAAGAGACCAAAAGGTAATTATATTTTCATTCAGTTTTCTCTTGCGAAGGGGAGCTTGGCGTACTGGTAAAGTTGCTGCCATGTGTCCAGGAGGTCACGGATTCACGCAGTGGAAACATCCTTTTGCAGAAATGCAGTTGGTCCGGCCCTTCCTGGGACCCGAGCATAGCGGGAGCTTAGTGCATCGGGCTGCACTTTATTCAGTTTTCTCTTGCCTCTGGCATACCATTTTCAAAACTTTGATTTCATTTTTTTGAGGTTAGAGAATGAAATGTTTGTATTTCTCAGGATATAAATGGAGGACTGATCAAGATGAAGATCTAGCAAGATCACTTCAAGATAACTCTAATTCATCCTCATATCCTCCATATCTTCCTCCTTATGCTCCTTCATATGCTCCTTGGGAATATAATCCCGATAGTTATAGGTAATTGGTTTTTTAATTTGTTTCCAAGATTGTTCACATATCAAATTATACATTGTACTACCATAGTAGAAATACAAATATAACATAATCTTGAGTTAGGTTTAACTGTTGGTCTCAGCCCTAACCGCTGATTGCTACTGCTTGTAAATCCAAACATCTAGGTAACAAACAGGTTGAGACTTGAGTAGATTATTAACAGTGTGTGTGTGTGTGTGTGAGAGAGAGAGAGATAGATAGAGAGAGAGAGAGAGTGTACACACTTTTCTTGCTGATGAAAACTATGCTGGATTGTTATTTCTAGAGTAAGAGAGAACTTATGTGAACATATAAATATTTGCAGAAAATGTAGTGGCTGCTATAGGGATATTGTCTCTGGAAATTATTTGGGATGTATGGGAACTTTCTTTCATCCAGAATGTTTTCTTTGTCGCGCTTGTGGTGTTCCGATTACTGAATACGAGGTACATTCTTGTCCTTGCTGTTTCTGGTCATTTTTCCAATACTCAACCCCTTTGCTAAATATGAAAATGAAGAGTAAAACCATGGAAATGCAGTTTTTATACAAACTGAATAGTGTCGAGTATTTTGACATGTTAGCTCATTGGTTTCGTTGATTCAAGTTTTCGTTGTCAGGGAATAATACATATCATAAGACATGTTTCAAGGAAATGACTCATCCCAAATGTGAAGTTTGCCATCAATTTGTAAGGACTTATTTCTTCTGTATATGACCTTTTTTACTACAAATTTGTGCCATATCATTTGATGCAGCGAGAAGGCATTGCGGATAAATTATGTGTGTGTTTATCACCTGGTTAGTCCCTCTAGTTATGACCTACAATTCACATTGCAGATACCAACAAACGGAGCTGGCTTGATCGAGTACAGATGCCATCCATTTTGGTCTCAGAAATATTGCCCTTCACATGAGAACGATACCACCAAAAGGTGCTGTAGTTGTGAACGTCTAGAGGTACGGATGTTTGCATCTGCAATTAAACATGTCAGATATTCACCTCTCATTCAACTTATATGCTTGTTGTTCATCATCTTTATCTTTCTTGAAGTCGCGGAATGCAAGATATATGTCTCTTGGAGATGGTCGGAGCTTATGCTTAGAGTGCATGGAATCTGCAATTATGGATACCGGCGACTGCCAACCACTTTACCATTCCATTAGAGATTATTATGAAGGCATGAATATGAAAATAGATCAGCAAGTTCCTATGCTGCTTGTCGAAAGACAAGCCCTTAACGACGCCATTGAAGGGGAAAAGCATGTACGAAATGATCTCTGCCTATAGTTTTTTTCCTGTCCTTTTGTCTTGGAAGATTACTAACCTGAAAACTCTTTTTAGGGTATCCATCATATGCCCGAGACGAGAGGTCTATGCCTATCAGAAGAGCAGACAGTTACTAGTGTAAGATCTTCAGTTCACTTGAATAATTTTCCATATTAGATTAGCTTAAACATGTGTTTACGTCGTTCTAATGAAATGATACGTGCGATGACTCCAATTTGTTTTACAATTCAGATACTCAGAAGGCCAAGAATGGGTGGTCGTGGACTAGTAGGAATCAGAACACATCCTCAGAAACTAATTAGAAGATGTGAAGTTACAGCTATTCTAGTAATATACGGCCTCCCAAGGTAACTCGTTTCCTCTCTTTGATTCCCATAGTTGATCTGCATTCTTATATGAAAAGAAGTAGGATGTGCTTTGGCATGAAACCGAGTTAATACCCATCGAATTTGAAGCAAAGAGAAACTAAAGTTAATCTACATATTAAAATGGATGGAACATTTGTACTTTCTATGCCTATTCCTGGATCTTTCTTGCGACGATAATACTGCACCATCAACTAACAATTAAGATGCTTCATATAATGCTAAGGCAAATAGGCTTACCAAATCTTTGCTATATGCAGATTACTTACTGGTGCCATTCTTGCTCATGAACTGATGCACGCCTGGTTACGCTTAAAAGGTAAAATATGATTCTTTCTTTCAACTTTGACAGTCTGGAGATTGAGAGGCTGTTTCCAATAGCCCCTCGGCTCAGAAAAGCATAAGCACAACAGTAATGAAAAAGAAAAACGGCAAGAACAATAGTAAGAAGCCATGGAACAGCAGCATTAATAGCAACAAGATAATAAGATGGCCGAAATGAAAGAAACAACATGTAGCATAGAACCTAATACCAACAAAAGATGAGAGTACGTACTAATACTACTAGTGTGAACAAGGAAAGCACTAGGCTATAGCTTGATGTTTCATAATCAGAACTTCTGTAATTTGCAGGATACCGTGGTCTCAGCCCTGAGGTAGAGGAAGGAATCTGCCAAGTGCTTTCACACATGTGGCTTGAATCAGAGGTAATGCCTGCATCCAGAAATATGCCATCTACGTCAACTTCTTCATCCTCGTCTACATGGTCATCGTCCAAGAAAGGCGGAAAATCACAAGCAGAGAATAAGTTGGGTGAATTTTTCATGCACCAGATAGCACATGATGCTTCTCCAGCATATGGTGGAGGATTTAGATCTGCTTATGCATCTGTCAATAAGTATGGTTTGCGAAGCACGTTAGATCACATTCGCCTCACAGGAAGTTTTCCTTTATGAATCATCGTGTGTTCGAACATGATTTCCAGAGATCATTGAAAGTTTAACCATGAGGAAATGAGTTGATAATGCCAAGCTGGTTTAGCTACCCCTATTTTTTCTGGGGTCTTACCGGGGTATACTGATAGAATACAACTTGAATCCTACAAATAATATTTTACACATTTTGCAATTAAAATGAGATATAGAAATTCTGTCTTGTATTGGAAACTCTTGTATTTTAAAGGCAATAAAGATCAGAGATTTTGAGTGATCCCATGAACATTCATTCCCTTACTTAATGAGTGTTGAACAAGTCTTTACTAACTTTCTTTTCATCATCTAAAATAAAAAGGACAGTCGGGTGCACAAGGCATCCCGCGTTCATATAGGATCCGGGAAAGGGCCGCACCCAAGGGTAATGATATAGACAACCTATCATAATGCAAACATTAGTGGCTGATTCCGTATCTCGGACCCGTAACCTGTAAGTCACAAGAAGACTATTTTACCGTTACTACAAGGCTCCCATTCATCATCTATTCTTTGAAATTATCCTCTTCAGATTAGTCAATGACAGAATGAGTGACCCCAACAATTTTTCAATATTAAGTTCAGTACTATGATATATATAAGAAAAGTGAGAGGATTTCTATTTTCACGGCAAATATATTTATTTCTTTTCTTTGGATTTGAAAATCTATATAGAAGGAATGTAAGGAATTACAACAGCAGCAATGATAGGAACCTCATAAGAACAGAGGACATACAATAAAGGCTCAAAACCATTCCTATTATCAGAGTTCAGATACGTTCCTACTTTACCTGCTATACTTCATCATCTTCCACTATATCCATGTTCAGCTGAATAAACACAACAACAACAACAACAAAAAACCTGATCCTACAAGTAGGGTCTGGGGAGGGTATGTATATGCAACCTTACCCTAACCTTGTGAAGATAGAGAGACTGTTTTCGATAGACCCTCGTCTCTGGAAAAGGGAATCTGGGGAGGGTAGTGTGTACGCAGGCTTACCCCTACCTTGTGAAAGTAAAGAGATTGTTTTCGATAGACCCTTGGCTCAGGAAAAGCAAAGTCACAACATTATTGAAAAGAAATACAATAGTGGAGAAATCATAGTGAGGAAGCAGTAACACGAAGCAGTACCAACAGCAGCAACATAATAAGAAAGCTGGAGCAAATGAAACAATCGATAGTAATAAAGATCTACACTGGAGAAGAGCCATCTAGCTTCAATAAAAAATCTACACTATCCTGCATTGCTATAATCATGTTTCTCATATCCTCTCCTTCCAACTTTACTAGTAGCAAATTTGATGTCTTTTTCATCTCATCCTTTCAAGTTTCAGACCAAACAAGTCAATTTAGTAGACAAAGATTACATTATTCTTCCTAAATAAACAGGATCTTACAGTTCTTCGTTCAATATTTGTATGTCGCTTTTCAAAGAAGTGACTTCCTTCATATATTTCCTATACAAAGTTCGTCAAAGAAATTCTACAAAATTAGCATGTGTATGGGTCAAAATTTGTCCACGCGTGGATAGACGCTAAAAGAAATGATAAGGGGTCGAGTGAGCCGTGGTCGTATTCACAAGACATAACAACGATAAGTATCTCGGCCATTGCCGAGATCGAGCCATCATTAAGCTTGTACGCGAAACATGTGTCGTAATGCTTGAAGGGAAAAATGAAAAGTATAATCAAGAGAGGATGTTCTGGTTAAAGACCGTTGGACAAAGGAGAACATTGGTAGTATAAATGGATGGTAAGAAGGCAAGAAAGCGGGGCCGATTCCCTAAAGAGAAAAAGGAACAAAAGAACAGGAGGAGACCTCCAACAACAAATCAAAAGCCAAGATTTTGGTTGCAAACCTTTGCAATCATCATCGCTGAGTCAATAAAGATAGATCTCATAATTGTCAATGACATTCCTTCCTTTCCTTCTTTGCTCGTACATGTATGAAACAATGTATCAAAGATGTAAGCTTATCATTTATGTTTGATGTCTTTTTATAACCTTAAGAAGAGCTATATAAACTCGATCTCATTCGATTTTCATGCTCACTAAGCTTAGATCTAGAGTTAATTATGCTTGGCTATGATTTATCCTCCATTTTCTTCATTAATTAGTTTAACAAAAAGCTTAGCACTTTTTGGTCAAACAACCTATAGATAAAATCACAAAATTGTGTTGCATGAACCCAACACACCAAAAAATGAACACGAAGCCATGGCGAAGCAATGAGTATTGGTCATTAAGCCGTTTCCTATGGGCCTACAAAATTTCAAGCCAATCGAAGTCCGTCAATAAAATTCCATAAAACAACATATGCTTATACACACGAAAAATATCATAAATTCGTATTGCACGACCTCAAAAAACCATAAACTAAACTCAAAAGTCATGATGAAGCCATGGGTATTAGTCACTACGAAAATTTAGGGCAATCAGAGTCCGTCAAATATTTTTTACAAAATCAGCATGTACCTACAAAAATTCAGGCCAATCAGAGTCCTTCAATTTCTTTTACAAAATTAGCATGTACTAATATACACAGAAAAGTATATTAAATCACAAAATTGTGTTGCATGAACCCAACACACTAAACAATAAATCCGAAAGTCACAGCGAAACAATGAGTATTGGTCAATACGCCTTTTCCTATGGACCTACAAAATTTCAGGCTAGTCAGAGTTCGTCAATAAAATTCCACAAAATAATCATATACTAATACACATGAAATGATGAATATAATCATAAGTTCGTATTGCATGACGTCGAAACGCTATAAAATAAATCTGAAAGTCATGGTGAAGCACTGAGTATTAGTCACTACGCCGTTTTTATGGACCTACAAAAGTTCAGGCCAATCAAAGTTAGTTAAAAAATTCTACAAAATCAACATATACTATACAAATGAAAAAGGTGGATATAGTAACAAATTTGTGTTGTATGACCCCGAAACATTAAAAAATTGAACTCGAAAGTCATGGTGAAGCAATGCGTATTGGTTACTAGGCCATTTCATATGGGCCTACAAAAATTCAGGCAAATCGGAGTCTGTCAAAAAAATTCTACAAAAATCAGCATGTACTAATACATACGAAAAAGTGAATATAATCAATAATTTGTATTGCATGACCACAAAACGACATAAAATGAACCCAAAATCATTACGAAGCAATGAATATTGGTCACAAGGGAATTTCCTATGGACTTATAAAGTTTCAAACTATAACATATGAAAATCTCGGAATCATCCTGAATTTCTATTTTATGCCCTTAAAACGCAAAAAGACTAAGAACGTCATGGCAAAGCGATGATTATTGTTCATAAGGTCATTTTTATGGGCCCTTGAATTTTTGGAGATTCGGGAACAGTCACCCATATTCATATAGATGGCGTAGACTATAACATACAAAAATATGAGAATCGTCCTGAATTCCTGTTTTATGGTCCTAAAATTCCAAAAATGAGGAACGGTCATGGCAAAGCGACAACTATTATTCATTAGGTCGGTTTTGATGGGCCCGTAAAATTATAGGAGATTCGGAGCCGATAGTCCTTATTCATGCAGATGGTGTGCACTACATAACACATGAAATATGGGGAATCGTCCAAAATTCCTACTTTATTGCCCTAACATGCCAAAAAAATGAAGAATAGTCATGACGAAACGATGACTATTGTATATTCGAAAGTTTTTTACGAGCACATAAAAGTTCAGGAGATTCGGGACTGATCGCCCGAATTCATGCAGATGGTGTGGACTATAGCACATGAACAACTAGGAATCATCCTGAATTCCTATTTTATGCCCTAAAACATGGAGATGAAGGTGAAGTCCCCGATGGGAGGAGGCCATTGATGTTCTGGGGGTCGAGAGCCAAGCCATTGAAGGCACAACTTCTGAGGGAGCTCCGTCCGATCAAGTAACCTCGACGATAGGTTAGGTTTTTATTTGTTCCCTTTTGTGTAAGGGCTCCAGGCATGAGCCTAGAAAATATGTCTTTGTGAACCTTTATTATATATACAAGGATCTTTGCCTTTCGTCATTTCTTGTCTTCCCTTTCCTCTTTTGGAATAAATTTTAATGCTTGTCGATAACTAATCCGATGTGTCGGACTTATAATACACCCTTAGGTTTTCATGCTCGACAAACTGATCGATAATAGTTGACTATTCGGGGTTCGATCCCCGAGTCAAATTTCGACCCGGGGCTATCGACCCTCAAGTTGTTAACATGTTAGCCCTTAGGCTCTTTAGGGTGGACCTTAGGCTCTTATGCATTGGCCCTTAGGCTCTTTAGGCTGGTCCTTAGGCTCTTACGCATTGGCCCTTAGGCTTTTTAGGCTCTTACACATTGGCCCTTAGGCTCTTTTAGATTGGGTCGATGCGACCTCTAATATGGCTATAGTTTTCCCTCATTTTGGCTAAAGACTTTTAAAGTTTTGATTATGCCGTGGCATGTTTTATGTTCATCCCACTCTTCGACGGCTCAAATGAGAACCTCAATTATGAGTCGATATGTGACGATAGCTAAGTACCTTGGGAGGTCCGCTCAAAGGCTAAGTTTTTGAAATCTTTTCAGCGAAGGCTGATTGTTTTCGAAGCCTTTTTATTATTCGGAGCTAATATTATCGAAGCTCCTTTGCTTATGCCGAGGGTAGCCTGATTAACCTGTTTTTTTTGAAGTATTTGAAGGCCTTTAGTTTTATGGCGGCTGTCAGACATCTCCGAGCCACGTTAATTCGGCTGTAGCCTTTTAGTTCAACCATAGTTTTTATGTTTAGTCGTAGCCTTTCGTCCCCGGGTGCGATGACCTTGGCGGCTATATCAAGGGTATGCCTTTTTAGGGGTCTTACAAGTTCAAATATATAGCCTTGGCCTTAATATCGGGGTTACGTCTTTTTAAGATCTTATAGATTTGAGTACGCCTCGTTCAGGTCTTATAATCTCGTTATTGCCTCATTGAAGTCTTATGAGTTTGTACATGCCTCGTTAAGGTCTTTACAGATTCGATGCTGCCTCACTAAGGTCTTACGAGCTCGAAGTTGTCTTATTGAGGTCTTACGGATTCGAGCTTTTGATGTCTTCGATGAGCTGACTGTCGGTGACAGTCCCCGAGTGTTCGAGGATTTTTGGCCTTTGAGCCATTTTTCGTGAAAGTAGTAAACTTCTTTGAGGCACACAATGTTTTAACAAACGGAGAGGCTTCTTTGATTACTTGATATATATGTACATTTTCTTG